GGTTTATTCTATGTATCGTTGACTCATTAGCCATGTAATATCTTCATTTGAAGTGGTTTCATTGTTTTGAATAAACTCGTGTATTTAGGTAGTATTTACTATCAAACACTTCTTTTCTGTACAAAACAAATAATAATAATAAAACAATAAAAATAAAACAAGATCCACTTTAGAGAGTTAAATAGCTAAGTGCTTTTTGCACATCCAATATTCTCAAGTTCTTCAAAGATCCCGTCGTGATGTTCATTCACTAGGGCTGATGCTTTTTGTTGGTATAAAAAAAAACGCAGATTCAGAACATGGATTCGAGAGTAGACTTTAAGATTTACGAATAGCATGCTATTGCTCCATAGTTCAATAGGCTACAAAATGCAGTTTTTATGTTTTCTTCAGAAGACTCTTTGGCTGTCATTAACATATAAAGTAGACTTTATATTTTCAACTCATTACAAGGTGGAGTGTAAGATGTGGTATCGTAGAGACTTTCACGCAAACTGCACAACTGCACTCCACATTTTCTCTCTTTCCTTTCCTTTCGCGGAGAGAAGACGGGACAGGGATGTAACTAATGTCGTGCACATCACGATGCGAATGAATATGTTGCCATGACAAAAATGACATAATTTGTCATAAGTGCAGCGATGTTTTCCTTCGATTCGAGTTGATGGTGTCCTTTAGATGGCATAAACACATTTAAGAAAATACACAATAGTGAAAAAATTTTTGTTTGAAGTTTGCTTCTCCCCTGAACGAATTTCGAGGTGCATTATAAGCATTGTTACATAGATTTGCTTGGAGTTCATCAACTTAGAGTTACCAGATGAGAGCATTGAAATCATCAAATGCTCAACTAGAAAGGTTTGAGAAGGCCTCGACAACAAAAAATGTGCGTTGGCAGTCTAGCAGTATGGGTTATTGCTAAGGATTGTCTTTAATGTTGATGTACTGTCATTGTTAAGACTTTAATTTTCCGATTTTGCATTCAATTTATGTCATTTTGCAAGATATTATTATATTGATTTGTGATTGAGGATGCGCTAACAGGGAACGCCATTCCTTATTTATGAATGATAGGCAAACTAAAAAGCCAACATTACTGCTATCAAGTCTTGAAATCAAAGATAAAGGTTGATATGAAGGTTGTAAGTTGTAATAAAATGCAAACCAATTGATACTGAATGCGGGATAAATTGTGGCAGAAAATTCTAAATCGATTCAATCGTTGAAAAGAATTAGTCTACAGTCTCTTTCGGACAATTTCCTCTCAAAGGTACTCGCAAAACAAGTTATTATAAAATCAACAAAACCAAACACATGTCAAATGCTTCCTAGCAGCGACAATTTGTGATCTAATGTACTGTTGTCTTCCATTTATAACAACGATGCCTAGACACGCAATCATAGCACACACTGTGCTAGCTACAAGCGATTATTTAGAATAACGATTCTGAAGAATGTACTGGCAAAAGAGATATGCAATTATGTGATATTCCCGTGAAGGAATGCCTATGGATATCCATAATGCAGTGTCATCAATAGTCTCCTGAGAATGTTAAAGAAACTGAATATGAGCTAAGTGCATTAAGAAAAAAGCTTGTACAAATTAAATGTTGATACCATCATATCGGTGGGATCTAACGTGTCGTGATCATATGAACGTTGGATGTTGTGATTGATAAATGCATCACCCGCATCGACCATGTAGCCAAAAATGCGTTACCGAATGGAGAGAAATATGGCACAGATTTAAAAATGTACTCGTAATAGAAACAAACACTTTTTTTCATAAAACAACTACAAACAATAAGTGACTTGAACAGCTAAGTGCCTTTTGCATACCCAATATTAGCGTTCAATCGTATTAATTTTCAAACCCATAAAAAAACTCCCGAGAGAAAGATGCCACTGTGGTGTTCATTCTTGAAGGTTCATCGACGCTTTTTGTTGGTATTGAAAAAATGCAGATTCATTTTGTGAAGTCGTAAAGTAGATTTTTTTGATTTAAGAAAAGCATGCTAAATTCCAAATTCCAATAGGTATACATGCATAAAAAAAGCAATTTTTGTGTCTTTTTAGAAAACTCTTTGGCAGTCGTTAACATATAACATTGTTTCGTATACTGTGTATTTTCAGCTTATTAGAAGGTTGAGTGTAAAACGTGGTATTTTAGAGACTTACACCCTTCACTCCCCATTTTTCCTCCTTTCCCTTTGCGGAGAGAAGACGGCACGGAATGTAACGTTGCACACATCACGAGGAACAAGAATATGTTGCTATGTAACATGAAGTAAATCGTATGGAGTGACCCGACATTTTCTTTTGATACTAAATGAAGATGTCCCTTAGCTGTAATAAGCCCATGGCGAAAACGTTGGACTTGCTCTATCAAGTACAAAGTATCGTGCTATGAATTATTTCTTAGTACAACATATACGTTAACACATCTGGGCACAAGCAGTAAACTGATTGCAGCGAACAATTTTACACACAACTATTTATCATTCATTGTAAAATGGGCTATAAATTATAGCATCATCTAGAGCTGCAAAGAGCATCGCCTAGTTTGTGCTATTATATGGTTTTGGTTCATAACATTGTGAAATTATGACTAGAAAAATTACTTAATGAAAGAGCCGAAACTGTAGCAACTATTTCCACATAATATAACGGATCTTATAAAAGTTACTACACCTTTATACTCTCGACATGCACCAAGGTTTCCATAGCAGCTCTTTCCTTTCCATCATTTGTGAGCATGTTGTTGATTTCATGCCTTATTCAAAATGACTTTCGAGAATGACAACTTGCTCTCGCGTAAGCTTTTCATAATAGCGTGGTATATTGCTTATGATTAATAAGGATTTCAATTTTTTATTGTATTGCAAATTTTTAAGTGAGAAATAAAGAAATGGCGAAGAGTTAAAACAATCACAAAAATTACCTTAATCACCACAACGTTTTGCCAGTATCTATAGTATCCATTACTATCATCCACTAGGTAGTTGAGATAGCAACCTGAGATGGCTAAATCCCGCATTCTATCTTTTAGAGCTCTGGCCAACACTCATTTAGAACAAGCGAAATGAGTGGTGATGTTTACTTTGCACAGTTTACAAAATATGGCCTTCCACAAAAAATAGATTCTTATAGGTCAAAACACTTGGCTTAAATGCATTTAAATTGTGATAACAACGAACAAATAATGTAATGAATAAAAGTCACACGATATTTAAGCTCCTGCACCACGTAAAATGATAAACATGGTAATTGTGTAAGAGACGACATTGTTTTTGTTATGCATGATTGCGATCGCACGATGGCATTTGTATGGCGGATTAAATGGCTTCTTTGAGTACATTCCACACGATGAGGGCATTCCTTTAAGTTGTTTTTGGTTTCTCATGAAAACTACCGGAAAATTATAAAGGAATAGAACATATTCATGGTTATTCAAAGACAACCGTGGTTATAAACAGATAACCATGAGTTATCTTACAACAACCTCCGAAGCTGAAGCACCAATTTTTCATCAAAATTTATCACTGTGTTGTGAGCTTTCAATTAGCACAAAACAAGTCACCCATGAACTCAGGCCATCACGCGAACATTGTAGCTATAAACTTTACCCTGTTTTAAATTTTTGCCCCATCAATCAAGAAAACAACGTAAAACAAAGCATTAAATTGCTTTTATAAAGGAGCATCCATCAAAACATATTTCGTCATGCAGTGCATGAGTAGAATGTGTGAAAGAGATCGTTTATGTGTGGAAAAAATTCAGCGTGGTAAAAACTCAACCTGCCCTGAAATTGTTAAAACACAGCCCCTTAATATATCAATGAATTTGATGGCTCTTTCAATTCCAATCACTGGGCTTTCGCACTCATTATCAGAATATTTTAAAATAACAGCAGTACAACTCGAGCACGATTGATCTATTGCTAAGTATGCATTGGCCTTTGCGAACTCTGATGCAAACCGATCTGAGTTTATGCAATCAATTAAATCAATCGAAGAGAGTTTGCAAATCAATTATGAATGCATGTTAGAGAAAAAATAAAACGTTTGTCTTCATTTTATCTGTTTTGCATTAGTGTTGTTTCATATGAGAAATAAGTGTTTACTGTGTTTGCGCAGGCTTATGCATATAAACTATAGTCACACAATGTAATGAAATTATTAGCAATGTACAAAACAAGATGCATATAAACTATAGTCACAAAATGTAATGAAATTATTAGCAATGTACAATACAAGATGCCCTATAACCTATCGATCTTCGGTCTCGGGTATGCACTGATCTGTTCTTGAGTTCTTCCAAAGGTCTCTTTGGTTTTCATAGGCATGGGCAAACACAGTAAACATCTTTTATTTTCTCAATTTTTCCGTTCAGTAATAATCAAGAGGAGATATCAAAGAATGATTCCATCAACAATTAATACTATTATGACAATTATTACAAATATTATTATTATTATTATTATTATTATTATTATTATTATGGCAATTATTATTACTATTATTACAATTATTATTATTATGACTTCGCAAGCTGGCTTGATGACACACACATGGAGGTGTGACTACCATACGAAACTACTACTACTAATTAACCTTTTTTTTACACGAAAACAATTGCGGAAAAGTGACATTCATTTGATGACGAGTATGACATTCATTTGATGACGACATTCATTAGTATCATGGATTTCTGCTAGAAAAAGTCGCATTCAAAAAAACTATTCATCTTGAATATTTGTACCTCATCCTTACAAGCAATGTATGGGTAGTATGTAGCTTTAACATTCTATATGTGGTTATAAAGTTGTAAATAAAATAAGAATATAAGGATGCAATTGCTTTTTGATTTTCATATCTCAGAGACAATAAGTTGCTTTTAGTTTACTGGCACATTTTATGTTTTCATAACGCTGTTGTCGTTCTATCATTGTGACAACGGCATTTGGTGTAGCGTTGCACTGCAATATATATAACTGCTGCTTAAACTGGCGAAGCAAGGACTTTTATTAGATTTATAGAGCTTAATAGAATATGACATATATACACTGTAGTAGTCTTAAATTATAGTTTTTATAATGTGTGTCCAGTTCGTGACCCTTTGCTGTTTTGAGAAGGCTGTACCCTGTTCAGACTACTTCGTTGATAAATCGACCCAACGGCGTAACTCATCGTTGCTGCCAAACATAATTCGAACAACCTCAGAAAAGTATTCACAACTAACCAGGTCCAGGCATTGGGTGCGAAGCTCTTGTTGGATAAACCACGAATTATCACAAGCAGTGTATAAATGTAGAGGAGTGCACATAAAACGCCGAAAACTGCGGCAAGAAGTGTGATTCGAATGACTTTCGCACTTGCATTAGCTCGTTTCTGATTTGTTTTATCCATCACTTCCGTGTTGTTGTTGTTTTGAAACTTGACAAGATTTGCTTCGATCTTTAGCATTTTTTGCACGACTCTTCTTCCACTGAACAACAAGCTTGCGGATATTCCCAAACAGCCAATCATATAGTAAAGTGCACAAAATACTAGCAAAAACCTTGCGCCTTTCATGTAGGTGGTCGCTAACTCCGAAGCTACAACAGCAACATAATGGACAGCAAGAACGAGTGCTATTAGTTTAATGCCAATAGCATTCGTCGCCATCACCTGGAATTTGCTGAGAAGCATGAAAATCTTGTGGACAAAAACAAAGCCAGAAAAAAGGCATGGGTATCCAAATGAAAACAGTAGCCGAGTAACGACGACTGGAATGCGCTCTGGTGGATTGTTTACGAGCTCGTAAGGCGCAATGCTCAAAGCTAATAACCTAGTTAATGCAAGAACGTTCACGAGAATTTGAACTGTTGCTGCGTAGCGTCGATTTGGCATGTTCCTCATTCGATATACCTTGTATAACTGGTACGCGTTGTAAAGAAACAGAGCGCCAAAGCAAGTGGAAAAAAATATCCAGTGTGTTTTAAATGCAATCTTCCAAATCCCGCTCACTGAAGCCAAGTCGACTTGCGGCTCTACAAATACGCCATTGTCCGCTGTCGTTTCTGGTGCTGCCAGTTCGGGATTTGGCTCGTAGTTCGGTTCCGGTTCGTGTTCGGGGCTTGTCTCCGTTTCATTTTTCATTACCTCGTTCGTCATTTTATGGAAAATATTGCTATAATAATGCACAGAATCTTCTCAATTGTGCAGCTGAATTTTTTCATTAGGTACGCGCTCGATTTTATATCAGCGTAGCGGGAGTGATTAGCTGCTTGCTGTGAAGAGCACATGTAAGTGATGTTTATATATTTATTTGTTTAATTACTTTCACTTGTTATAAATTTAACTATATTGTTCAACTACACAGCTCGTTTTAAAACACAATGATAACCTCGGAAATACTAATGACACATACACTAGTCGTTTGTGGTAAGGGCATGCGCAGTCGGCAGCGTAGGACGATGCTCGAGCTCTAGGTGTTAATAAAAATTAACACTGAGAAAGAGCTTATGGTCTGGCTTATTAGTTCTTTTCATTATTGTAGACGTAGAAAACGTCAAATGTTTTGAGAAGAAAATATCGATTCCCTGAAATCGTATTCACTCTGAAATCCCATCATCCTAAGCAGTCTTGCATGGTAATATATAAAACTTCGACTTGTTACATTTGCCATATGCGATTGTGGTTTATATTTTAAATGCATTTGCAAGAATAAGTAAACATGCTCGCCATCGGAGCCTGTTCATGCGCTTCATAGTATTCGGTATTGAAACGGAAAACTTTGTTGTCTCTGCTGCACCTGCTCCGCAAAAACAAGTTCATCAGTTATTACCAGACAAGCAACATAAAAATCGATTTCATTGCCAACTAAATTGCGCAAAAATGTCGTTTGTGGAGAAACAATCACTTTAAATGAGCTCATTAGGAACGTATGGAAACAATTCAAAGCGAGTATAGCGACACATAAGACCTAATGACGGCCAAGACGTCACAACTATAGAGAACTAATTGTAAATGAGTTTCTTTGATAGCTGTACATTGCATGGAAAGCAAAATCTGTTGTATTTCTACTTATGATGATTTTTATGCGGAAAAAAATAAACTCGATCATGGCTAAACTAAAATGTCTGTCAACAAAGTTGCTGATTCATTTAGCCGATCCGGGGCTCAGTCGAATTCGCACGAAATGTCCAGATAAAAACTATATTGCTGCAAGACTATTTCTCGAATTGCGTGCAAAACATTACGTAAAATATTTTCGTTTCTTTATTTTCTTCCATAAGATTTTCATGCCACAATTAATATCGTTCACCAGTCAAATTTCATTTATTTGCATCTCGATAAAAAACGCGCGTTGTGATTGGATACACAAGATCTATTGTTATTATAATAGTTAATCATTTATCATTCATAGCATTTCAAAAAAAGACCTAAATAACTTTATATTTTTATTGTTTGATTGTAGTAGTTTTTAAAGCACAAATTTGATACGGCATTTTGTGTTACTTATCTTGTGTGCTCTCATGCAATTCTATTACATTTGCAATGGTATCACAATTGGAACTTTTATTGATCTAAATTTCGTTTGCCGAAAAAAATTGCTTAACCCCCAACCTCTCTGATAAGAAAACTCAATAAAAACATGTCTTCTTGCGTAGGATTATTTAATAAAGTTGTGCAATATTTCTTGATAAGGACACATAACATCTTGTCTAGCTGATGATTTTCCTTCCGCAGCGCGTTTAGTTATATAACATGCAAATGTCTGTCTGTGCAAAGCGTATATGCTATATATAAAGAATTTTTTGTAAAGGTTTGAATTAGAATGCAAACAATTTTTGTTAGTTTTATACTTCGATGTATGCCTATGTAAAAATATACTTATTTCAACGATCAACTCCGGTCTCGGTCGTTGAAACAATCAATATGGCTGTTAGTAACGATACACGTGATTCACGGTAGCGAATCAATCGAGAAGTTTAGTCGTGCCTCGTAAATTTTACTCGATTCCCAATATCAAGTTTTCTATGTCCAAGTATTTAGATTTATGTATGATGGAACGAAATTGGTATTTGTGAGTGAAAAATAAAAAATATTTTCTGAGTGGGAGAAATATGTCTGGCCAACATCTGCTACAGTTATGTCATAACTTATGCTAACGACACATACGTATTGTAGGCAATGTTATTTCCCCCTTTTAAAAAGAGTGCTTTTTCACTTTTATTAGCAAAGATAATGCTTTTTTCTTTATTTAATCAAACCACGCAGAATGAATTCGTTGATTTAAAAATTTGTCTTATTGTAACGTTAACTTGAACATTTTTAGTGTGTTTATGATATCGTTTTAATTAAAACATCTACGCTTGTAGTTAAATCTAAGCAAGTCAATAACGTTGCAAACAAACTCTCGAAACTGCGCAAAGGATTATTGCGTCTGTCTGAAAAAATCATCTTAACTTGCGTCTATACAACATTTGACTTTATAAAAAACATTTTGTTCCGACTATTGTCCATTTTTTAAAGAGAATGTCCAACCCACTTAACTCTCCCCATGCGCGTCACAACGTTTATTTGTTTGGTGACAAGAGAAGCTGTTTCAGACACAAGCAATCTTCTTTCTTTATTACCATTAGCATTTAACAGGCTCTTTCAATATTAAGGCGTCGATGTAGTTTGTCGGTAACGTTGTAATTGTTATTCTTACAGTAAATACCAAATGAAGTCTCTAGTCTCATAAAGACTGATCTCTTGACACTTTCGTAATACAAGAGCTCTTTGTACTTCTGTGTTTGTAATAAATTGGTCGTTATATTGTCTAGTTTTTCCGTTTTCGTCAGATATAAAAGCGAATTCGACAAAGATGCATACCGTTGCAATAATGCAACTCAATGGGAGGTGAAAATTTTTTTCAAATTGTAATTCCATGTCGGTGTTATTAAATTCGCTTTTGCCTGCATTTGCGACATAACATGGAACGCCGAAAATTTGACGCTGCATTCTTGTGACCAGCTGTTTTGGAATGATAGTTGATGAGAACCGGCAAGTTTTTGACGAATGATAAAATGGTTTATCCGAAGAGTCACTTTGACGGTAATAGTTCAGGTGAAATAGACGATGATGTACCCTACCCCAATGCAGAGCCAAGAATCGATCTCGACTCCGTCGGCGATGTGTGGTGGATTTTGTTCAAAGTTCACTGGATAACGTTTTCAGTATGTTTTAGTCTTTTAGCATTGTATAATGGCTATCAGTTGTACAAGACATTCCGCCTGAAGAGCACGACGAGGAAGAACTACATCAGTATTGTACAAGTTCTTGTTATATTACTCGGATTGACCAGAACGCTGTCTTTAAGTATTTCGCCTTACGATATCATGAGCAACACACCAAAACGCGTTCCGTACATTGTGCCTCGCTTGCTGTTTGCCCTTGGCTATCCTTGTCTTTTTTCTGGGTTCACATTTATGTACAAGATTTTTATGTTACTCAGCAAAGTTCAGGTTATGAAGAAAAATCCAATTGGAAGTAGAGTGGTCACTATAATTCTTGTTCTGCATTTTCTTGCGGTAATTACCGTCGAATTTCTCACAAGATATGTCAAAGGCGTGGAAGTTTTGGTTTTTGTGCCCTTTATTACTTTGTTGGATGTTTAGCCACCGCTCTTTGCTTACTCATCAGTGGAAGGCGTGTGGTAAAAAAAGAGAGAACAATTCAGAAATCGCTTCATCAATTTGACGACTCCAAAGCTCACCAGCGCGTAACACCAAATAATCTAACGGCAAGGAACAAAATCTTAAGGATTACCCTCTTGACTGCCGTATTTGGTGTGCTCTCTGCTCTGTTCTACATTTACACAATAGTTCTAATGATTAGATCTGTCAGTGGCGAAGCATTTTTTCCAGATCCCTGGACATGGCTCTTCGTAAACATATTTTTGAGAATTTTTGAGTTCTGCTTAGCTGCAACAATGAGTTACGCCGTTGCATCGAGTTATCGACACAATGCCCGTTCGGCAAGAACTTTTTATAACACAAAAGGTAGTTACGCTACCACAATCAGTGTTGCTTAACATATTTGAATCTTTTCTGTTACTCAAAGACAAATAAACATATTTCACTTCAGCACCATATTGGGGAAGCCTTTATAAAAGTATATATGTGTAAATATATCTCTAATCTATATCTCTGTTCTAATACATATTTCAAATCTAATGTATATTTAGGTTTCAACGTTTGAATTGTTCCAATAACATGCATGTACAGGTCTCTCTAGAAAGAGTATTGCAGTTATTTTTAATTTCATTTATCAACACGATGATCGAATTGCATTTATGAGTTACGCTGTTGCATTGAGTAATCGACGCAATGTTTTGTTCGGCAAGAACTTTTTATAATTCAAGAAATAGTGACGCCTCCACCATCAGTGTTAAGTGAGAGTCGTCCCTGTGACACAAAGACCAATCATACATTCCACTTAAGCAACATATTGGGAAAGCCACTAAAAAAGTATGTATAACTAGATATAACTTTAAATGATTCGAGATACTATTAACATTATTTGCGCAATACAACAGTTTTCCCGGCTTTTACAATTATCAAATCCAGAACATAATTTCTATTATGCTTCGTTGAACAAACTTCCCCATTGTTCAGAAATTATTTTTCATCTTGGAATACGTCATTATAATATTGAAGGGTAGCTAATAAGATGTCATAATGAATCAAAGCATCTTAAATTCTAAACCGAATAAACACGTGAACAAGCGCTTCTTTAATCAATGATTCTGAGAGCAATTATAAGCAACATATTTCTCAGTTTTCTTGAGATTTTTGTAAACAATGCATCTGTTTTAAAATGTATTCAAATGTAATTACAAACAAGTAAAGTGTGATATGATTAGTTTTGACACCTGCAAGATCATTCTGCTCTTTATGTGTGTTTATGTATTAAATAATGTCTTATTCACACAAACTTAAACATCAAATTTTGGTTATTTAAGCAGACAACGTCTCCACGTTATCATAACACTGTGACAAAAGTGACTTTTTTCCTCTTGAATCAATTTGTGAAGCCTCCGTAGCTCTGGATAGCTATAAACTACCAATATATTTTTAATTGCTTAGACTTAAATCGGGATCTAGAGGAGGTTTTGAGGCCGATGAGCTCTGTTTTCTTTGAATTAATATAAGGACTCTTCTTTGAAAAAGATTGACAATGTGTCAAAGCACATGCCAGTTTAATAACATAAAAGTACAAATACAAAGTAAATTCCAGGAAACGTTTTACACAATTCAAACAAAATACTTTACAAATAAAGTTTTTATGGATAGAAAAGAAATGGTGGGGTGAGGTGATAAAATGCACCGTCAACGGTGAGAAAGGGGGGGGAGGTTGAAAGTTTTGTGAAACTTCACATGACTACGGCCAACTCCAGAATGATTTGGTAATGTTTGCGCAGTACCTATGATACCACATTCTGTGCACGCGAATCACCCTTTGAGCATGTGAACTGAATATAAATTTTACCAAACTGCCAGTTTGCCCTTGCAGCGTCGGTAATTAACTATATATTAAACTTCATGACCTTACCACGCGAACTGTTCCGAGTAAATAAACCTAAATAGAAACAAACTTCCCCCCGTACTTCTGTATTTCTTTACAAAGTTCTTCCTAACCTCTCTCCGTTTCTCTAAGTTTAACTTAACTATTTACAAGTTAAAGTGTAAATTAATGCGCAGAAGCAATAAAATTATTATTGGCTTGTGCAACTATAGCTAGCTCTTTGATTTTCATGCATGCAAAGTGATATTTTTTAACTTCCCGCAATCCAATTTGCTGTGGAAGCTAGCAGCTTTTTGCAGTATATCTTGACCGTGGTCCAAAAGTGATATTCTTTGGCCATATATTTCACACAAAGTAAAATTTTAATTGTTAAAAACTGATTTAGAAGCCATATAAATTTTTCAAGGAAAAGGCAAAATGTTCCCAGATGGAAGTTATCATAGCGAGAATGGCTTTACTATGCAGAACAAATTAATTGTTTTAATCAATTAGTTGTTTTAATTAATTTAATTTAATTAATTAAAACAATCCCATTTCAGTATAAACAAGCCACATATCGGCCATTTCACAAAGTGAATTGCTTTTTTTTAAAAAATAATGTTATTTACCGTTTATATCTGTTCGTACTTAAAAAATATGTTTTTAGTTTGGACCTCTCAGTCCAAGCTGAAATAATTAACGTATATATATATATTGTGCTGCAGTCGAGTTGTTATATCCTTTATTGACTGAGTTTCTTAGAATTGCTGGCAAAGGTCGTATACCAAAAACCAATCGACAAAACCTAAGCTTAAATACTTCTGAATGAAGATCCCTAGCATCCCTTACCCAGAAAAAAACGAAGCACGTCTCTACCTTCCTTATCAATTACAATAATTAAGAATGCTTTCTCAATGTCAGCAACTAGCCCAATCTTGTTTTGTCGAAATTTGACGAGCAAATCAAAGATTTGTGGAATGAGATTCGGCCCGGTCAGTAAGCAATCGTTTAGTGAAAAGTTACGCAAGTTCGTCGTAGCAGATCCATCATATACAACGCGTAGCTTCGTAGTAATCTTATCCTTTCGTATGACACAATGATGGGGAAGATAGTGAATTTTACAACGATCCTTATCAGATGCCTGAACCCTTTCGACTATTCCTGCTGCCAATTGTTCAGAAATACCATTATTACATTTATCAAAATTTTGTGGATCCTTTAGCAGTTTTTGATGCAATGATCTCAATTTATTATGACAGAGTTCTTAATCGTCATCAATTTGCGCATGATCATTTTTCCATGGCAGACCAACTTCGTAGCGTGTTCCAGTAAATCGAATATTTCGCACAAAATCTTGTTCCTCGGGTGAGTTCTCTGAGTCAAAGGAGTCAATGCCAACGCTCTCAAATTCCCAGAAACACTTCAATGATATTAATCACTCATCGGTTACGACAGTAGAATTATCAAGGCAATCGGCTGCTAAAATGATGCTGTTCATAGTATGTCCGTCTGATTTTTGTGATCACCATCCAGACAAAAGCCATCCCAATTTGCTGCTCATCGCTGTTGGACTATTTTCTCCTCGTACAACATCTCTCGTGACTACGTCACAATAATGATCAGCTCCTATCAAGATATCGATTGAATCACAGATATTGTCATCAGAAGTATCAAAGTATGCAAGTTCTAAACCATGGAGATGTGGATATTCGTCTATATTTATCCTTGTAGGAAGTGGTGCACATATTGTACCTCACCTCCACTCTTGTTTGCAATGCTCACCTTGAACACTTCGTAGCTTACTCGTTTACTCTTGCTTTGGCCAAAGGTATTTAATGGAAGTGTCTCCTTACCAATTGAATTTAACCTTAACCGGCCTTGAAGTGACCTTCGAATGTAAGACCTTTGGCTTCCAGTGTCAAAATGAATTTGTACTGAAACCGATTTTGATCCATTCGATACGAGAGCTCTGGCCGTCTGCAAAAGAACACTTCCCTTGACAGTTCGTGTGACAGCTGTTGTGGTTGGAGAGGTCACACCTGACCTCTCCCGTAACAATGTCGACATTTTCTTGTGGCGATACACTTGCTTGCTTGGTGTCTCTTATTTAGACAAAAAAGCAACGGTTGGAGTCCCTTAGAATTTTAACTCGGGCTTCCCTTCCCTTTACCTCTTCACAAGATGCTGAATAATGTGATCCTTGACAGTATACGCATTTAATCTTGAAGCTACAAGCACCGTCTTTATCATTTTTTGTTACTACAAATGTTCCAGCTGTCGATGGCTTGTTGGGCTTATCTTTGTTCTGGTGTTTTGCAATCGTACGCGATGACTCGCTCATTTCACGTGCCTCAACTTCAAACTTTATGGTTTTGAGCAACTTATCAATTTGCCAAACATCACTAGTAGCTTTTCGTGTTACCTGCAATCTTATTTCACTCGGTAGTTTGGACATAATAATTGGTATTAGCAGACTGTCGTACTGGTTTGCAGATACCCCAAGCGAATCAAGTCCTCGCACTTGAACACTTATTTGATCGAAAACATATCTCATTGCTCCATATGTGCAGCAATGACCTGTAGGGTTCGAGAAAATATATCTTGCAGAATCGCAATTGCTGCGTCATAATTTGCTGATGCTAAGGTAAGTCCCTTTATCCAACGTGCTGCACTACCTTCAAGTAATAAGAATAGGTAATTGTTTGCCTTAGACATAATCTCGTTGCTGTGAATCGTAGCATTGTATAAGTCCCAAAAGGCGTTACATTCTGTGATCTTTCCACTGAATTTTGGCAATTGAAGCTTGGGAAGCTTTGGCAACATTATCACTGATATTGTTCTTATAGGGGCATTCAAAGTCGTAGAATTCTTATTAATCACTTCATTCGTAATCGTATCACTAGCATTCGTGTTCGTATAGACCACATTCGTGTTCGTATTGACCGCATTCGTGTTCGTATTGACCGCATTCGTGATCGTATTAACCGCATTCGTGTTCGGGTTATGCTAATCGTTGCTTATCATTGTGTTACTCGTGCTTTCTGTTTTTACCACTAAAGGAATCTGTTCGACTTGTGGTGTAGGACTTTGCCTTCTTTTTATACTTTCTTGACAAATCTCCGGTTTTCTTGCTGCTTCGATTTTACGTCTAGTGCATAGAATTTTATCCGAGACGGCGGCTGCTTCTTCCATTTCTTGTTCAATATCCGTTACATCACATATCCCAATAAATTTGTCGTTTATTTCGTCTAAGATCTTCATCTTACTCTCAAGTTGTTCAGGGATGACATTACATCGTTCGATGTCTACTTCAGTGGCATCCAGAAGCTCGAGTGTTTCTTTTACAAGCCTTGTACACACGCCACGATAACCGCCTCGTTTGGCGCGAAGTCGTTTAATATTATCCTTCGACATTTCTTTTGTTTTCGAATGAAGCTGTTCCAGAAAGCCGTCGTACACCTACTTACCGGTCCCACGTTGGGCGCCACTTTATGATTGTTCGAAATATACTCACAAATCTTTGGACGGAACAAACAAGATGTATTGGCTTTCTGATTCTGATGCCATTGTACAATACCATTTGCCTATTTGCGACTCTTTTTTGCAATAACTATGTGACTTTGCTGGACACTTACAGGAAAATCACGTGGCGATAGCAGCTAATAATTTATTGGTATTCAAACAAATAATTCCATATTCATGTAGAATAAGTTGCTCTGCATGTCAAATGTTTTCTAATAATTAGCTAAAATTTATATTTCCATTTACTTCTCTCCCATTGAAAGAAAAAAAATTGAGATACCATAATACTTGACAAGTAAAGTAAACGGTTAGAACTATATGTTTTCAGTGCTGCTTTCCTGCGTATCGGCTGCTGCGATGCTCTGCTAAAACATCCAATGCTTTAATACATGAATGTTCAGCGCAGACCAATTTCACCAACTTAAGGGTGGAACTTTTACTAACAAATCAAAATTATACTAAGCGTGCATCATTACCAGTAATTCTTAAGAATGTTTAAGTTCGACGTTGCTTTTATGAAGATCCCTAACTGTGTGTAGTTTCGCGAATGAACGAGGCAATCTGTGCTTATAGAACGGGAAAAGGTATGTTTTCTTGTTGTGTTGTTACATCAAGTATCTCGTTCTGCATGATGAATAACTACATCATGTAGAGATACTCGGAACAAATAATTTTTATCATATTTTGTGATGTGCATTTTGTTTAATTGCTTTTTCGCTTCAAGCTATGTCTCTTTCTATAGTTTTATACTCTTTCCAAGGAAACAATGAACAAGCTATGAACATTTTGTCGCCTTAATGAAGTTAGAAAATACAAGTGGCTGCTTTGATGATTCGGCAATTCCATAGCGCTTAATTTGAAAAATCTTTTTGGTATTTTTGGAATTATAGAACGGCAAAAGTTTGCATTGCAAGAGATTGTGCCTTCGAAAGCTTTATGGGACGTAAGCTCTTAAATTTTCAAAACTTCAAATCAGAAATTCTTACTATAGCTAATACTGCTTCTCAATATACTAGATTACTATAATCTAACTAATCTTTTCTTAAAACTATACTGGGCAGAGGGTTGCTTTCACAGAAAAACTGCAAAACTGCACTGATGATTCATAACTCTATAAGGCTGCATGACAGACATTCACCTGAGTGCGTGCTTTCAATATAATTTTGTAGAAAAAAATGCTTGTTGTATAACAGCATGTTGGCTTTTAAATATTTTTATAATTATGTTTCAGTAACGGTAGTTTTACCTTACCCCCTCAAATTGTTCAACATTAGTTTTACCTTACCCCCTCAAATTGTGCAACATTGACTCATGATGCACAATTTGATAAGCTTAAAAAGAAATTCTATATACTTGAGTAAAAAAATTGTGTGGCAACGTTTTTTTTCGCAACAAATTCTTACAAAGATAAATGTTGTTATAGCTACTTCAAAACTGTTTCTCCCAGCAAGTATCCGACTCACTAAAACTAATTCTAGTTTCTATTAAGTTGAATCTTTCTTTAGATCATCAAATGCTTACTATATAGAAAAATTTGTTGAACGTGAATTTAAAAATTTTAATGTTTAGGACATTTTTAAGATGTACATCTAACCAAGAATGAATTTAATAATTAGGTCTTGTTTCTGTTTTCTCCTTCCAAAAAAAAGAAAGCTAAGAATATGTCATGTGTTGACTTGTGGTTCTTATTCACACATTCATTAAAGTGATTATATAATGGCTTACATCAGCCGTATTTTGGTTGATATTACACAACTCCGAAAAAAATTATTATACACTCATATCTTACACTCTGTATGTCATTTATTATTAATTTCAACAATTTTTTAAGGGGCTTATGTTATTGGGTATTTTAAGCAATTTTCATTGCGTATGGAAAATTTGAACCAATTTCTGTTTGATTGTTTTAACAATTGGCAATCAGTTTAACATTTGGTAAGAAATAACACATTTAACATTTGTCCCTTTTCTAACTAAGTTTCAATTTATTGTCATGGTTGCATTCTGAACAAGCTTTTTTGCTTATTTTAGATCCACAGTTTGTACAATGTGCAGTACGAGCCCACTTGATTGAGATATTCCCAAAATCGTTGGGATGATGTCTTCAATTTTTAACCCTATATCAACATTTTTACTTGGTAGACATGGTTTGAACAGTTTAGCTCTTCTCTGAACATTTTGTTCATTTATGACAAATGAAGATTGAAATGTTTTTCAATACTAGGTAAGTCACCATTATTTTTTATAAGCTTTCTCTACCAAAAGATCCAGCTTACGGATGATAACATAAAAACTAATTAATTTGAGGTGACTCATTGAGGGTTGATCAAAAGCCCAAGACATGACAATTTTTTTCTTCATGCAACAGATTTGAGTGTTCTCGCAGTAGGGCCTTCTTTTCCGACAATGTCTTACATAACAACAAATTTGAGTAGCAATATTCTAGCCACCTAGCCATACCATAGGTGGCTGGTACAACATGTCGTTAGTCAATGACATAAGCAGATAAGCTTGTGTATGTTTTGCCAACTGTCAAAAAATATTCTTTTCCAATTCAGCTTCATTCTGATTACTGTAGTGTAATTTGCGACTCTTTTGATATTGTTTCAGTCTTTGTCTATGATGTTTGAGCTGCTGTAGATTAGCAATTTAAATCTAGTGCAATCGATCAAGCGTCAAGAAGCTAAATATTTAGGTGTTCGCTGTTTGCAAAACTATTTCCGTTTTAATTCTGAAAATGTCGGAATTCCCCTACATTCTACGCAGTTCGTCATTCCTTTTGAAGTAAATGGTTTTGAGCACTTCTAAAATGCTCAGTTCTATTCATGTCATCTTTCGTGTCAAACGATCAGCTTTCATATACCGTGATTCTCGCGATAACTCTGTCAGAAGAATGTATAAAGCTATTTAACAAGAAGTAAGTGTATCATTGTTGATAATTTCTATACATGTATGTTGTTCGTAAGGCGAAACTTGCAAATTCCGTCTTATTAAAATATGACTACTTTTAAATCTAAAATAAGACTTTTTGTCAATAGTTTATTGTAACGCTTTTCTGATTTACTTACAAAATTAACGTGAGACGGCGCCGTGACTTCCGCCATTAAATATGTTTTATTTAATTGAGTAGCTAATATTGATATTGCTTCATTTTTTACTGCCCAGTTTGTCCGTCTCATGTTAGACTGTCGCAATAAATTATCAGTTGACTCAATTCAGTAATACACTTCATTTCCCTTAAGTAATAATCCAATTGTTTAGTTTGCATTTTCTATTGTATTTTAACTTTTTAACTGTTTATTTTACATGTATCGTGAGTTGAAAATGTAAGCAAGACGTAATTTTTAACTTTAGCAGGGATGCTCTATATTTCCCAACGGGAAATATTAGTAAAATATATATTCCGACAAATTCATTACGACGTCGTTTCATTAGTTTGCCACATATTCAGCATCAAAGTTCATCAGGAAATAACATTTAACGTGTTCACTAACATAAAACAACCGGTACAACGTCCTGTATTTTGCAAACCCAATTAGTACAGTTTTTAAAAAACATTATTGTGTAGCTAGACTTGCCCATATTTGGCATAATACTTACATGTAGTTGTATCAGCCTATATATAATTTATACAAGTTTAAGCACATATTCTCCTTATGTAATAATTTTTGTTTTAGTCACTAAATTTTCCTTTAAAACTGCTCCTTTTGAACTTCAACAACTTCCTTGTTCTGATGTAGCTAAAATATCACGCATATTTATACAGGAAACTAATTTTTAAAATTTTTGTATAAAATCAGCAGCCTGGAGACCGTGCTACACTATCCTATAATGATGTAATGTATTGTCTATCACTTACCGGAAAAAAATTCTCTAAATTTTTTGTACAAGGATGTTAGTTAAAAAACTAGTTAAATAAAGTTAAGTCGCTTATAGAGATAATGGTATAGACTTCCATGGTGTGCAAGCTCTGACATAAAAGAGTTTTGAAGTGTTGCTGTTTTCGATTAAGTAATATTCCGCTTGCTTGTAAAATTTGCAGAATAGTGTCATGTGTTGGTAAACCACCGTTTTATCTTCGTCTGAACAATCTAGAAATCAAACGTTGTATCTCGAAGTTTTGGTGACGGGTCTATATGTGTGAATGTGGTTTCCAAAATAAGGCATGAGTAAAAAGTGCACAATCTGCATTTAACGTCTCAAGTTGAAAGAAAAAATTGTGTAAGATATAATAGTACTAGTAAAAGGTCTAAAGTTTTTTCAATAAGCGCTGCTTTCCAGATAGAACTTCTTGAGTGTGGTTTCATATATGAAATATCCGATTTGTGTTGATGAAACGAGAACGCATATATATTTAAAATATAGTTTGACGAGATACCCAATTTCTGTTTATGAAAGGAGAACTCATATATGTTTTATAGAAAAATTTGACGAAATACCCAATTTCTGTTTATGAAAGGAGAACTCATATATGTTTTAAAGAAAAATTTAACGAAATACCCAATTTCGTTTATGAAACGAGAACGTATATTTATTTGAAATAAAAGTTTGACCTTGTTAACCTGTGCAAACTGTATGTCCTCAATTATAAAAACAGCTAAGCAATATATAGATGTAGGCGAACTGCAGCATATATCTTTTAGGGGAAGGAGAACATTTTCAACATTGAATGAGTTATTTAATCGACTTTCCAGCAATACACCTACGTATGTAGAGGTGCTTGGAAAGGGCCATTTTCATTGTATACAGTAACTTTACGCCTTGATGTAAAGTATTTTTGATTTATTTTATTACTATAGCTGAGCAATGCCTCTTGTTGCAATTGTTTTATCCGATTTCCAAAAAAGTGCTGATAATGAGCTATCAGTAAAAGAACACGAGTTACTGAACGTTGTTGACAAAAATGATGAAAACTGGTGGAAGGTGAGCACTCGGTTTGGTGAAACTGGATTGGTGCCTGTAAATTGTTTGGCAGCGCCTGTTACTGACGAAGCCATAAAGATCAAATCTCGAGAGAAAACGTTAATTAGATATGACAGCGAATACGAAGATGCGTTGTCAGTTTATAAAGGACAAGAGGTGGCAATTTTCGATAAAAGTGATAATCATTGGTGGTATGTCGGATTCCGAGGTCAAATTGGCTACTTGCCAAAAAATATTTTTGAAGAATGCACGGTACATATTCTGATAAAATGCTATTATAATTTAGTAAAAAAATCTAAAGCTAATTATATGTTATGAATTCTTAGGCACTTGAAAAAAACGACAAGCGAGGTATGTGAATTGACAATTTATGTTTATACCATGCCCAGCTTGAGTCAATTAAACGCAATGTTAGTTTTGAAATATATCATTAATTTTTTTGACTATTAGAGAGCACTGATTTTCATTTCAATGATCTGTTTGTTTTTTTAGATTTGCAAAAGTTTGCATTCCAAGTAATAGTGCCTTCAAGAGCTTTATGTAAAGTAAGTGCTCTTTACGATACTACAAATCGCAATAATATGATAACACTACTTTAGTACCAAAATACTGTGGTCTCGTTCATCAAAACACATTGATTATACCCGACAAGAGGATTGCATCCTAACAAAAATGTCTTGGTCAGGTTTTTGTTATTTTCAACGGATAGCTCATCGTTGTTGTTTTTTCCCTTTGATTTTCATGAGAGGACTACACTATACTAGTTTTACCAGAGTATTTTTCTTTTCTTTTTTCACTTCCAGGAAGAAACTGATGTTCTTGTCACATTTCAAAAAGCTCTTCCAAACAGGGGGCAATATTTTGTCAACTTCAAAGGAAATCAGAGTGACTTTACGGTTCTTGGTGAATTCCTCAACGATTTCACATTAAAGATCACCACGCCAAGTAAATTTCTGATTTCATGCTGTATTATTTTGTAGTCAGTGTATATCTTCTCTGTCTATTATTTGTTTGAGAAGTATTGACTTCCGAAAATTTTATTTCGTATTACAATTTCAACATATTTTCAAATTTTTTCTAGTATGCTCTGAAGCCGAAAAAACAAAAGTAACAATCCATCATAAACAATTTGGACTCCCCCAGCAGCTAATTGCTGAAGGAATTGATTTTGAGTTTGAATCTAATACAGATGTCACTTATCGCCTTCTAAAGACAGAGGATGCTCCCTTGAATATAGTGCACAATTTACTTGAAATTTTCAACCCTAAATATGAAGACTTGAGTGATGTGAGCTTAGTTTCTCCTTATTATAAAAATACACTGAGAAAGAGTCTAAGAGAGCAGAAACAACGCCATTTGATATTAATTTTGATTTAAGTTAATGGCGACACTTCGTCTTGACAAAAGACATCTTTAGAATCATATGAATTTAGTCACAATATAAAAGTATGAATGCATACACTATTTATACTTGTCAAATTCAAAGAAAATTAGACTAGGATAAAAACACGACAGATTTTAAAAAGTTTCAAAAGCTAATGAGCTTCTCTGAACTATGAGTGAAAGATTCAGTTTGTAAACTGAAAAAAACTTTCATGGATTAGAGGGTTGTATGAGTTACATGAAGGGCATTTATAAGGTGTGGAAGTCATCAAATCACGCCGGGTATCTGGAATTGTGCCGATTAGATATGTTGGGGTTAGAGGATTTCTTGCATTGAGTGAGACTAGCGAATGTTAATAGCTTCTAATGGGTAAATAACGCGCATTGCGACTCACATAAGTGTAAGTTTTCCCCTAGCAAATATTGTTTTTCACAATCATACGACCTATAGAAGAGGTAATATATGTACAATGTTCAAGGAAATAATGCATAGCACAATAAAATGTACTAATTAGAAACATTTTCTCATCAACACACTGTAATATTACGCTTTGTAAGCTGTTTAAAATTTGTATCTGTGTTCAAACTCCTTATGCAATTGAGCATCATTAGTCAGATTTATGGATGATCGTGTGTATGTTAAGAATTTATTTTCCTCCGAGCATATCAATCGTTATAGTTGAAACTCTCTTATTTTCAGAGCGACATAGATCGTGCTTACGATTATGCAACTGTTAGATCATGGAAGATCATGGAAGATTGCTATAATAAATACATTATCAATAATTATCAGTATACTTTCATGGATATCAGGGAACAAAAGGATGAAGGCGATTGTGACGGTATGATGCCTGACTTTGAATTAAAAAACTTTAAGGTACATTATTTTTCATGTAACATGATAATACAACCATTTCGGAAAGGAAGATGGAAAGGAAGATGTAGTTTGTAAAGCAATTTTCTCTATTTTATTGTACATGAAAAATTTGCAATAGATAGTTTCATTAGATCTTTTTTTAAGATCAAGATGGTACATAGCATAAAAAGTTGAATTAATCCAAATTTTCAGGCTTTACTTTGCGACAGTTAACTCGATCACTCAAAACTAAAGTAGAAGTTAAAAACATAAAAAATTACTTTTATTTACCTTAAGGTTTGGCATGAATTAATTGGCTTTCTCCAATTGATATATTTAAAAAAAAAACCAGATTGCAGTAATTTTGTTATTCATATAACCGCTTTAGTGGGTCGGGAAATTTTGGTATATGTTTTGATACAAGTCACTCCTGATGTTAAAAAATCGCTTGCGCTTTTTTCCCGTGTTAATTACCTTTATTAATTACCTAAGTTTCAGAGACTTTAAGTATTGATGACGAGAGCATGAATAGAGACTTGAAAAGAATGACAGAAAAAGAGGTTATACTCGCTCTACTTGCAAAGTGCGTCAAAACAAAACGTGTAACACAAGAGCAGGCACAGCAAATAGCGGAGACATTGTACTTTAAGGTAAATATTGCATCATGTAGAGGAAGAGTTTGCTTTGCTAAGGCACGATGCTGATGAAAGTGGAAGAAACATTAAACGTAGCTATTTGTGTAGCTATTTATATTTTTGTTCTCACGCTTTTGTTGCAGTGTATGTATTCTGACCTGTAGCTAATGTATTCTAAACTTAAAAATCATGTAAATTTTTAAGAGAAACAAGCAATAAACACTTTACCAGAAAATACATTTTGTATTTGATTAAAACAAACATACACTGCTTCAGATGTAAAAATACTGTTAAAAGAAACAGTTTTAGCAGTCATAAATTTGGGGTATTGTTGCCAAGTATTTAACAAATTCAAAACTCATGTGCAACTTGGCTAAGACTTTGCCTATTTATAGACTTACTTTAAGAAGCTAATCAAGTTTATCACTTGTAAAGTTAAACTTATATCCTTAAAAGATAGCTGGTATATGTAATAAGTGCTTGATTTATGGAGGTAAAATTAAAATGTGTCTTTCAGGGAAAGCCATTTCACACTTATGTATGCATGTCCATAGGGCATAAATCAGCACTAGTTGGCTTATAAATTAAACGCTCTAATTTTTAGACGAAAGACTTTGAGCCAGTTTATGAAGCTATTGAAGATGAAGGTATGATTGAATTTAGATCACATTTTAAATCCCAATGTTGATCATGGATGTAATATTGATGTAGATCATGAACAGGATGTAGATCAAAGTAATTCTAAATAAAAATAAAGGAGATTTTTAAATGTTTGCATTTGATATAAAACATGTCTATTTATCTATACAAGAAATGATATAATGAGTAAAATGGTGATCGGTTAAATGGATTTGAATAAAATTTTGGCCTGTTGAGAATGTCATTTTCAAATACTGCGAACACTCTCAAGCGTGAGAAAGACGAGTGTTGTTTAACTATCTTAATTTTAGGCCCAGGTTATGTTGATGATTCCAATAATGGTGACAATGCCAATGAAAACAGTTCAGAGGAAGAAATCGTTTTCGCTGAATGGATTAAATACTTTCTGGACGATGACTACAACATTCGAGACGAGGTCCATAACAAATTAGAAGAGTGAGTATTTTTTGTTTAGAGAACTGGAGAAAAATTTTCGAGAATAATAAAGTGGTATGCTATATTGTGTTAAGGCTGGTTATGCCAATATTGACTACATACACAATAACTGTCAAACTTGACCATAAAATAATTTTGATAATTCCTTTTTATGATTTTTTGTCATCCATATTTTTTAGAATATTGTGGATTACTGGAGCCCATGGTATCGTGCATAAAGATAAAAACAAAGAGATGCCATATGAACATTTGTATGTCACAGTTGATAACCAGGAAAACAAATCAGAAGATATTTTAAGAAATGAGATCGATGAAAAGTTTGGATTAGAAACTTCAAAGTTTATTGAATTCCGGCGTGAACAACGGAAGAAACGCAAGTTCTTATTTTCATCCAATCTCCGTGCTAAGGATGGTATCTTGCCAATAAATGGCGACATACAGATTCAGGATAGCAATAGTTCTCGGAATAATCATATTTCTCACATGAACGATATTTCTTGCAGCTCTCTGACAATGTTCTGTTGCAAAAAAGAAATGTATTATGCATTGACTTGTGCACATGTTGCTTGTGTTACAGACCAACTTTCTGTCTCAAAAGCATTTGGTCAAGAAAATGAGGTTTCGATAATAATTGATAACGTGAATGCTAGAAATGAGAATGATGGTAACAAGTATTTCTACCAGCTTCCTAACTCTGACGAGAAAAGACAACTGGGTGGTTTTCCCTGCAACACGGTCAGTACGTTTGACAGTGAATCTGATATGATGTATATTCCAATTGGAAAGAAAAAAGATTTCCAACATCTCGGTGGAGATGATTTGGAAAATTTTTCTTTGAACTTAAAAGAAACAAACAAAGAGCTTTACGAAACAGCAAACAGCAATAAAGGTCTTGTGGAAGTTCGTACAAGTAATCACATCACAGGTGTTATTAGTGACCGAAACTTTTCCTGCACTGACGGAAACTTAAAACCTATTTTCAAGAATGCTGTGATGGTAAAAAGTACGGATTCCTTTCTACAGAATGGAGACTCTGGAAGTCTCGTTTATTTCAAAGATCGAAAAAATAATTGGCAGCCATTTGCTTATGCTGTGTGCGAAATAGATGATGATGATGATGATGGCGATGATGATATTGAAACTCCCGAGAAACACTTTTTGTGTTTAAAATTGGATAAAGCTTTGAAGATGCTAGATCTCAAGAACTGCAAGTACTTTAAGAAGAATCATCTTTGTTCTTTGTCACGTGAAGAATTGAACTCTTAAACTGTTCTTCTGCATTCATTTATCAACCAGTCTTGGTATGGAATCACATAAGTAATTTTCACTTTATTGGATTTAGAAAATAAACTGTAAACTTATTATAGATTTGTATAATGCACAATTTAATTATTTAGAAAATCAATTTATTTAAGTGAAAAAGTTGTACAGTAAGAATTTTGACCCAAAGTTTCTAGAAGTTTGATGATATTTTTAAAAAGTTTATAAAACACAATGGTTTAGTGCAGAGGATTCGTATAGTTATGGTAAAGAATATTTGCTCAAATATTCAGTGACAGTGGTGACTTGTGGTTGATCCGTAAACAATATCATGAACGTACAGTCTATAATTTAACAAGTGTATTACTATAATTGTAATTTGTAAACCTATAAAAGATCACGTACGATTGTGCATATTCAATATATTATTATGTTTATAAACTCAGTGCTCACGAGCATGTCCATATTTCATAATTTGATTGACTGACCAGATGTATTACTTGCTGTATAAGCAAGTTTCTTAGTGATATAACTGTTGAAACTATCAAACCTTGCAATATGAGAAGATTTTGCTTATCAGAAAATAAAAAACCTATACCAGAAGTGGAGAGTATTTCGCCAAATGAATTTCAATGCGCTTGGATTAACGCGGAAAAAGTTATTAATACCATTATTACGTTCACCAATTTGTGTTTTTTCTGTGTATTACTCATGCTATCTACCAATGGCTATTTTGTTTGTTTCAAATACAGTGTAGAACATTTTTACTGCAATTTTTCATCTTTGATTCGTCAGTTAGTTTGACGTGGCAAAATATTAAGGTAATTGCAATATATTGAGCTATTCAATATGGTCTCCCGTGGTTAATTTGTTTCTAATCATGGAGCATAACATTTTTGTATTGATTCTTAGCATATTCTAAAGTTTCTTTTAAAAAGGACTTTGTTGTCAAAGGCGATTATGGGCACCTTGTTGTTGAAAACACGATACTGGTGATGGAAATATTATTAGAAAGTGAGTGTAAATTATTGACTTGTATGTAATCTACCAAACCACGAAAGAAGCGAATGCTTTCTAGTTAAGTGCTGCTTTGCCATGGCTCGTGAATTCTCAAGGCAAACGCAGCAGTTTGAAATAGCAGCAATTATTCTTAAATGGAATTCTTTATATGTTCACTTGTTTCGTAAGCAGTTGTGTTAAAGTGAATGTATAAGAAATGCTTTCACAAACACGTACTTTTTGTTTAGAAATAATTGGATGCAATGTATATTGACGTTAAGAGCGTTTGTAGCAGTAGTCCTTAAATATTGCGTTACTTCATGTTCTATCGCTATGCAAAAATATGAGTAATATAATTGAAGTAATTAAGTCTTTTCAACGACATTGGCATGCAACGAACGTAGAATCTAAAGATAAAGTTTAATTATTCATATAAAATCTAGAACTATATTAGTCATGTTATTACTAAAATTAAAAGTGATCATAAATTAAAAATGCAATCCATAGGAACTCATGCATAATACGTATATATGTAGAACATAAAGATGCTCGAAAAACGATCGGTGTTCCCAAAGATGATCTTGTCCATGAAATTGGTAAAAAAGTAAGTACTCAATGGAAAGAGCTTGAGAGAAACCTAGTAATACCTGGTGATAAATTAGACATTATAAACCACGATGAATATGAATTGGAAGAAAAAGCAATTCAAGTCCTTCAACATTGGAAAAGAAATACCGAAAAAAATTCTACTGTGAAAACTTTATTTCGTGTTTTGTCCAATTTTTGCTTTGGAGATGCTTCAGAATATTTACAAGGTATATGTATAGCACCCTCGGTAGTTATCAAAGTGTTTGTAAAAAAGTGTAGAATAGGACATGCTTATACTATCATATACATATAACATAACCAAGATCAAAGCTCGCCTAAGCCACATATTTCTCACGTGCGTAAAACTGCATCAAAATTTAATTACTTATCCTATGCTTTGATTTTTTTGTATTACTGTAAACATTGAAAGGATGAAAAAAAGGAGTGCCAGCATCCACTGGAAAGTAATGGATATTCTAATTAAATGTAATATATATTAATTGAATATCCTTAACTTTTTTTTTCTTTGTTTCATGCACTTAAATATAACCTTTGGTTACATTTTATATAAATTATAGCGGCTCAATTTTTGACCTGTCATACCTAGACTGCCTTCCATGTGTAATTTCGTCGAACAATGAAGAAGTCTTCAAAAATATGTTTCTTGATGAAGATTACAACGTTCGAGACGACATTCACGATACATTCAAATGGTAAGATTGTATGTGTAAAGAATTCTTTGGTCGTTAAATTATCTACAGCTATGAGGAAAAATAATTCATTATGCTGTATTGATAGCACCTCTTTGAAAGCTAAACATTTTAATCAACATACCAATGCAATTTTTAATAATGCATAGTTGATATGAAGAACTATACATAAAGAAATGTTTATTGTTGGTTTCCTTAACCATTTTTTGTCTTTATTTATACACAGTTTTGAAAATTGTTTCACCTCAATGCAAAACATTTCCAGCAAACCATTCTTCCGCATCTTAGACACTGAAATCTTCTTTTTGTCTGTAAACAGTTGCAGCATGTGATGAAACTCAAACAACTTAACATGTTTACGTCCTTCTTTATTCTGCACGTTTTAGTGTCTTTGGGATACATGGAGCGTATGGAATAGTGAATAAAGATAAAAACAAAAACATGCCATTTGAACATCTGTATGTCACAGTTCATGGACAAGAAAGAATCTATGAAGAAATTTTAAAAGAAAGGATCGATAAAGAATTTGGATGGAAAGCTTCAACATTCATCGAATTTCGTCGTACATCATCTTCATCATCCAGGTTTATATTGTTAGGTCATGTTCGTGCCAGGAATAGTTCATCAAATTTGTCGCAGAAATTTAGTGATGACAATAAGTGTTGCGGTGCCTTGACAATGTTCTGTCGTCAAAATGAAAATTACTATGCATTAACCTGCGCGCATGTTGCTTGTGACACCAAAGATTTACAAAATGATGTTTCAAAAATAACCGATGTAATAAATACCAGAAATGGAAATGATGTTAACATTTATTTCTACCATCCACACAACTCCAAAGAGGAAATACAACTGAGTACTGTTCCCTGCAACACTGTTAGTAAGTTTAACAGTGAAGCAGATATCATGCGTATTCCAGTTGGAAATAAAGACAATTTTCAGCGTCTAGGTGGAGATAATATGAAAAATCTTGTTTTAAATTTCAAAGAAATAAACGAAGAGCTTTACAAAACAGCAAACAGCAATAAAGGTCTTGTAAACGTTCGTACCAGTAATCACGTCACTGGTTTTATCATTGAACGAAATTTTTCTTACATTGACGCTACTTCAACGACAATTTTCAAAAATGCCGTCAAGGTAAAGAGTAGTGCTTCATTTCTGGAGAAAGGTGACTCAGGAACTCTTGTCTATTTCAAAGATGGAAAAGATCTTTGGCGGCCATTTGCATATGGCGTGTGCAAAATTGATGATGAGGATGACGATGATGGTGATGATGACGACGATAGTTATAAGTATGACAATAATGGTAACTATGAAGATTTCAAGGAATACTATTTATGCTTAAAATTGGATAAAGCATTAAAAATGCTCGATCTAAAAGATTGTGAATTCTTTATAGAAGCAGAAAATGTTAACCATAGCGCTTCATCGAATTGAAGAAAATTGCAAAAAATGATGATATACAATATGCATTCTTCATACAATCCGAGTTAACAAGTTTATCGTAAAAAAGATAATGTATGTAATTTAGCTTTCTTGTTAGGGTGGTTCTTTAGATGTTGTTGATTTTGTAAAGTTTCGAGGCATTTAAATTTTGTCGATTTAATTAAAACACTGCGATGGATGTGTTTTTAATATAAATGAAACTTTAAATGTACTTAATTCAAAGTTGTTTGCTAAATACGTTCTTGGACCGATTTAAATAACGCTGATATTATTAAGTTAAATGGTTTTGCATTTGAACTGATGGTAGTCATAATTACATGTTTTCAATTCCCAGAGGCCAAACAGTTTTTATTGCGAAAGAAAGCAGATATTCAAAACTAGCTAATAAGCTACTGCCATTTTTGAATTGCCCTGCTTAGTTATAAACAGTTTGTCTGGTCTTTGGTAATTCTGCATATGTAAACAATGCCTGACTACAAACAAGATAGCAATGACAAGTACATTCTTTATGGTGAGCTAAAAATGACAGAGCTAGAAGTTGGTTTTCTGTCATCCGCGGATTTATTTTAAGATCCTACTTTAATGACTTGCTTTTTAGCTATGGATGAATATGTTTGAGAAATAAAAACATGTAGTTTTCTTGCAGAATAGTTGCAATTGACAAGGATGACACACAAACTACATGATCTTTTACTGAGTTGCATGCGATGGCCATTTCTATTGTGGACATTGTAGATATTGACACTCGTATCATTGATGTTTTTCACGTCAGCCATGCGGAAGGAATGATACAAAACAATTTTTAATTATTGCTATCGTGGACTCTTGCCAGTGTGGGTGAGTTGGATCATTTGGTATATCCCAAAAGATTAGTTGCAAATCAAGAATAATGCAAAAGTTTTGAGTTGAGTAGCAAGCGATTTAATAAAATAATTTGTGTTTGAAATTAATCATTCCCTTGGGAATGAGAGAAATATATAAATTTCGCCATGTTGGATGACATTTGCATTTAAATTAGGAGATTTCTTTGTCAAAATCATGCAACATGGCGACCATGATGTAACTTGCTCAACAAGATTCATTCGTTTTGACCAACACTATAGATGCACCATTTCTTGATTGAATTTACAAGCCGATACCATTTGAAAGGTATGAAAATCAGTTTTTTCGATAGGCTAAAATTGAACATACAGAATACGTAATTTGTAAGCCTCTTTGTTTGATCATGTAAAATCTTGACTATTCCACAATGCAAAAGTATGCTTATAAAGTCAGGGTACATGAGAGGGTATATCTAAAAGTATTAATATTTGTAACTAAATTTCTAGAAACTGTTAAGGGAAAGCATTTTACCAAACAAATTTTGATGCCGATTCAAAGACGAAGAGCTGTAATTTAAAGTTATTAAGCACAACGGTGTATTTCTGAGCATTGGTGTATTTCTGTTTATAATTTATGCTATCTTCGAATTTCGTAGATACACTAATAGCCAATTTTCTACTGCAACTTTTCCCCTCCAAAGTTTATGCGCACGTTTCAATCGGAGAAGACATCAAAATAATAGCAATAAGCACATTTTGTCTATCGGGTCCCTGTGGTTGATTTGTTTGTGATCATGCAGCATAACATTGTTTTCATTACTAGCATTCTTTTTGAAATGACTTTATCTCTACAAGCGAGAATTACCGGCTTGTTTTTGAAAAAGTACGTTATTGGTGATGGATATAACACTAGCAAGTGCACGTGAGTATACAATTTTTTGCTTTTTATGTAGCTTTAGCTAATGGTAAATCGAACGAGCCACAAAGCACGAAATTGACTTTTTTCATGAACTGTTATGAAGAGCTAAAGAGATGCATATTATAGCACCCCCGTCGCAAGTGCAACGTTGCGAAATAGCAATAATGATTCTAAACGTTATTTTACAGTGTTCAATGAAACTTTTTGCTTCTCTGAGCAAATATCTTGAGCAACTACGTTAAGTTGAATGCATATAAGCACGCAGGTGTTTTGTGTAATAAATTCGATACGTAATAAGTGTTCTTGAACATCGACAATCGTAGAACGTTATGTTGATAACGATGATTCTTACATTACATTACTTGGTGTGGGTACTGTCTCAATGAAACTTGTACAAGCTATCACTGTGAAATACTTATATAATCATTTAAGAAGTAAAAGATGTTTACTGTGTTTGCACACAACATTGTGAGCAACGTTGGGGAAACGTCGGGGAAAGACGTTCTCACGACGTCTTAACGACGTTGGTCAAAACCCGTAATTGCTTTGTTTTGGGGTTTGTATTTACACCGAAAGATATTTGAGACAATTTATGACATTCTCCAGAGTAATTTCATATTAAGAAGATTTTTTTACAATGCTGCATAGCATATAAACCATTGAACTTTTCTCAGAAACGTTATGGCGACGTTCATTACGAACGTTTCGGCGACGTTTTGTACAAACGTTATTACGACGTTTTAGATCTAACAAATCGTGACTTTGTTCACTTGCATTCTTCAGCTATAAATCTTATCATATTACAAGCACAAATAATTTTGCTTTGCGCAGCAAATACACACAATTCACAAACTAAGAAAATTAATGATAGATTTTTCATTTGAATATTAACATAAAAAATGATAATAATTAAATATTGGTAATATAAAATGATAAAAAATATTTGTGACAAATGACAAAAACCCAAACGTTATGGTGGCGCATATCAAAGCTCATTAGATGATCGGAAGTCAGATCGATGTAACGTTTTCACCATTACTTCTCAAAGGTTTGGTGGTCTAAAAATATTAAAAGAGGATTTTATGCGTTTGTATGAGATTGTATGAGACAATTTTATACAACAACTTTCTATGGTCGTGTATTAAACGGCGATTAAGCCGTTTATGTCACATGCTGATCTCTGAGTGATAGACGCATAGAAGATAGTAATTAAAAGAAGCACAAAGAACAGGTCAACTTACTTTGCACAACTTGTGAGGAAGGACCACAAATATTCCAACAAATGCGATTGAACTCAATGTTTACAAATATACTTTATTACTGCTGTGCCAAATGCCAAAGACTGCCTGTTCGCAATATTTATAGTATGAAAACACTACCTTCCTTAGTATTTATTGACTTACACCAACAATTAGAGATATTACAGGTAACTGTTATGATCACATTTAATGTTCAACGTCAATGTCTGTTGTCTACGATCTATCGTACAATGGTTAAACTACTTCTATTTATACAAGATATTACGTATGGATATATTTGTTTCTTTACTAAATATGGTTAATTTATAATCAACGGAAAGCTATAAGGAACTATAAAAAATATAGAGTTCTTAAGTGGTGACGTCACGTTTCCATGGTGCTAAAAATGTCAGTTCCAAACAAGCGCCCATTCGATGCAAAATGGAGACATTATCCATCGCTTCGCTTTTTTCTTTCTTCTCGGAAGAAAAGAAATCTATAAAAAAGGGGGAAAACCACTTAAGTATTATCACATTGAAGCATTTACTTACCAGCAGAGTGTTTTACGAGGAGAAGTACACGCAAGCATAAAACAAAAGGTTTATAAAGTGACGGTGAATGCCAAATGTCAAGATTAAGTTTTACACTGTTTTTGTTGCCCAAATGAACACGAGGGCGTGATTTTATCTTGTAGTGAAATAAAAAAAGGCTTTTTAATGAACGATTTGTTTTAAAAAATAATGATACTCGTCGGTTTTCAGTCCTCAAATTGACCTACCACTACTAGTTTGGTATGAGGGAGTTGTGGGAACAGGCTATACATATATTTGCATTTTTATTAATAAACACAAGGATAACATGGTATTTAAAAGACATGGATATATGGTACATTATTTAACGTTGTTTTCCTGGGGGGAAGGGAAATTCCCATTTAAAAGTGATGGGATGCTCATGGGAAATGTTCAGAAAGACTCCTTAAGGGTAACTGTGGGCAGTACTTGCTTTTATTTTTATTCCCAAAAAGACATCCATTGTAAAACATATGTCAAAACTTCTTTTAACTTCTGTTCTCCTAAACATGATAAAAGAATTCTCGCAGTGATCTAATTTACACCCTATGTACACCCAGGCTGTACCAGATGATAAATATTGTAATCCCTAGGAGGTAAAATCATCCCTTTACTGTTATATTAGAATGCTCCCCCTCTAGCTGTATTTTCTTCTAAGTAAGCCTCAGTCTACAAATTATTTTATTTCTATTTGAACAACAATAATTATTAAAAAACTGTCCAATGTAGTCTTCAAGCATAAAACTACTCAAAAACCATATCTTCGCACCTCTCTTTGATGAGAGGAAATTGAAAATTTACAAGTGCTGCACATAACTGAAACAAAATGTTAGTATAGCAGTGCAAATACGAAGGAATGAAGCCTAAAATTTTGAAGTCTTTTAGCCTAGCATTGGCTCTTTCGACATGAATCCGTGCTTTAGCTATGGCTTTTGTTTTCTTGACCTCACTCTCTGTGAAAGTTCCATTATTCAGAAAAGGTGGGATATTGACACAGACACCATGTGGTACAACATCCTGGATAAGGAAACCCTTGTCTGCCAGAATCATATCTCCAGCTGTCAAGTGATTAAGGAGTCCAGACTGTTGCACAATGGCCTTGTCTGAAATAGAACCTGGATACAGCCGACTGACATTAGTAATGACTCCATTTGGTGCAACACCAACTATTAACTTAAAGGAATTCATTCCTCTGTATGATGAATAGGTTGCATTTTGCTGACTCATCAATCCCGGTGCAGCAACCTCAATATCTGTGCAGTCTATAACAATCCGACAGGATTCAAATTGCCTGAAGGAGGAGGGTGCAGAGATCTTGTTTTTTTCCCGGGATGGAATCGACGTCATTAGGTCGTCAAACAAAATTTCATGCAAAACATGAGTGAATGTTATAACAATGTAAGAAAATGTGGCCACACTACAATGAAACAATTGGGCTAGGTGAAGCTGTGTGTAGTTCTGTCGTACTTTCATTAAAGTGATAAAAATTTGATCCTCAAAATTGATGGATTCTACCTTCCAAAACACGATGAAACACTCAGATTTAAGGTTTTGGCTACGGAAAATACAAAGCGACCGTTAAAAAGACAACTAGCTGAAGCTTCTATAATTCAGTATTCGATGATTCTCCCTAATTTCCTGATGTCAACTCTTCACCTGAATAGAGTCAGTACATCTCACTTAAAATCACGTAATTCATCAAATTTTCATCGATTAAGGAATTCTTTTTGAATATCAGTTCATACCTTATCAGTCGAATCCATCTCTTGTACTCGTCGTTTAGCATTGTAGCGCTTGGAAAAGCGAAGAACTTGCAAGTGTTGCAATCCGACGAATGGCCACATGTAGGAGCAAAACAGTAAACCATTTTGCCCGTTTGACCCGCGTCCTTTACACTTCTTCGACGAAAGTTGATCCCTTGGATGACCCTTTAACCTTTCCTGTTTTTTTTATTGTCTTTTGTGGATTACACTGGAAATTAAAGCTTTAGACATTCAAAACAAAGGAAGCGTGTCCAAAGCATTGAGCTCTATAAGACCTGGAGGGGAAAAGGGGCCTGGACCCCGTGGTCAAAAACATGGCGGTAATGGCGGATTTTGGTTGTCAAAACTTCCACTTTGAGAAAAATTTTTAACATTCGCTCCCTCCCGAATCCGGATCTCTATTCCTGCTTATATTAATGACAACCAGCGAAAACAACCACGATACCGTAAGCATAAAATATTGCAAATAATGCTTCAGGTTTTTGTGAAATAGACACACACATTTAAATGAGGTAAATCTACTGTAAAATAACGTATATTTTGTCAAGTAATGCTTTAGCTATATTAGAAATAAATATCAAACGGCATTTTTTACACTGTCAATGTGTTGTTAAGCTTTAATGCATAATCCATTAGCATTACTTGTGTTTTTGACTGTTTGTTTACAGCTTGGTGCAACTGTCTTTCCTGAATAGATGGGTAAATCTTAGTTAAAACGTCCAAAAAGGAGTTAGAAAAAGTTAGCTTACCCCTACGACTTAAGTCGACTGGAAATATATTATAAGTAGGTATGTAATTTTTTTGAGTTTTTTTGGGTAGGATTGATTCTGGGTGTCTTATAAAGTATTATGATATTCTTATAAATCTACTGAGAACTTATGAAGAAAATATCTTGAACTAGGAGAGCAAAAGATTGAAATTCAGAAATTCTATAATCATGTTGCTGGTTCTGTTTTGAGCCAAGATATTAGAAACTGGATTGTCATTGACAACCATGGATCTACTACTGAACAGAACTACATTAATTTCCCATTGAAAATACAATTTCATAAATTAAAGTGCATTGGTTTCTCTGACATAACACTTTTCTTATTGCTGCATGAAGGCAAATCTGTTTAAATAATTATAATGTAGGTGAAGATATTTAGCATGTTGTATAATTGTTATTGTACAGTCATTATTTATAATATTATGGCCTTGTGTAATGTATGTCAAGAAGAACTTATTAATTCTCAAAAATGCTAACCTTCTTGCACTACTTTTCTCTTGTGTCCTTACAAATTGCAGTTACCTGTACTAATTTTTTCTAGGTTCAAACAACTTGACAAACTTTTGAATTTTACATTATGCCTTCGAATTTTTGTTTTCGTCTTTTGATAAAAATATCAGTGAATGACTTAAAAATCAAGTTTATCTAAAATAGTATTTTGTACAAAGAAATTATACATAATTTGAAAAGTCTCATGTTGAAGACAGATGTCGCTTCTTTTACTAGATTGCTACTCTTATTCTTTTAAATGATATCGTAATTCTTCAAGACATAAAAAGTTCTTTGGCATCAATTTTTGCTTGTTCCACATTCAACTTCATTGCAACCAATGCATCTTATGTGAATTTTTAATCACCTGGAATTGAAAAATGTATGGATTTTGTCAGATGATGCAGTACTATATTTAATGTTTCATGCATGTCATCATAACCTTTTCTTGAGCAAATATTTTAAGGTAGGAGCAAAATTTGGCCCATTATTGAACAAAGTAGTTTTTATCTTGATTTTGATGTACTAAACTGTTTACTATAACAAACAATTCATTTACAGAAACACCAGATGGAATTTATAAAACTTTTAGCATAAAGCAAACCTTTACACACCATCATCAAAATTGTCCATAATCTGTCAAATTATCCAGGCTAGCTGTTTAATACAGGTATTTTTTATTGTACGACATGTACCAAAGAGCTCATTAATTAATCCTGCACTGCATTTGATTTCAATACAGCTCTGATCTTAATATTTGCTTCATATTTTCAGAAAAATATCATGAAAACACCCTCCATTTCTTGAAGGTAAACTCAGTTGAAACAAGGAGTTTTAAGATATGCATATCTCGATAAGAATTGGTTGCTTTGCCTCGTCTAGCAAGCGATTAAGTAAAGAAAAAATAAGACTGGATAAACATAACTTAAATTATAACTTAGGAGTAAAAACATTCACAAAATATATACCATCACACTTCAAGTATTGACTTAAAACAAAACACTGAACACTTTAAATAGTAAACAATCTTACGTTGCTTACCGTAGTCATGAAATGTTTCCTTTTCTGACATTACTTCAGCATCCGTATACCAAACAAGTTTGCAGCATGTTTTAAAGATAAAATTTCTAAAAGTTTTTGTGCTTGGCATTGATATTTTATATAATCGCAATTGTGGTTGTCAAATCCGGGTGGGCGAAAAAAATTTTATTTTATGAGCCCGCGTCTTTCCGCTGACTTTGACAACCAAAATCCGCCATGTTTTTGACCACGCGGCCGCGCGCTAATAATTTATAGTAATTTGGTTGACGTTTCCCCTCCAGGTCTTATAGAACTCAATGGTCCAAAGCGCTCGCATAAGATATTTTGTTTAGAACTGCCTTTTTTAGCGCCATGGTAACGTGACGTCACACTTAAGGACTCTATTGTGATTATTAAGAGTACATAAGTATCTCTTAAAATAATCATTTAGTTAGTTGCACTTGACTTAATTATTTACTATCTACAGAAAGAATATGAGAGCATATCTTAACACCCCCACTTGCTCTTATGTTTTGAGCATCCTACATTTTTTTTTTATTATTATTATTATTTTTCCTAAACTGATACTTACCTTTGGCCTTACTTATGCGCACTTTAGAATTTCTACCGTACGTTTCCTAATATTGTCTGCCTAAATTTTTACAATTTGTTTTTGCTTGTTGGTTTTGTAAAAATATCTGCTACGTTGTCTTCACTATGTACATATTTTAAGCTAACTCTTCCTTGCTGGATTTCTGATCTGATAAAATGGTATCTAATGTTGATATGTTTTGATCTTTGATGATGAACTGGGTTTTTAGCTAGATTCATTGCTCCTTGGTTACCTATTAAAAGAAAAGACTTACCTTCCATTATACTTACCTTCATATCTAGACAAAGTTGCATTAAAAACTTCGCTTCTTGAATTGCATTTGCTAGGGCAATATATTCTGCTTCACACGTTGATAGTGCTACAGTTGTTTGTTTTCGGCTCTTCCATGATATGAGAGGACCTTCTTGTGAAAGCTAAGAATTATAACCTGTAATACTTCGTCTATCTTTTATAGACGTTCCCCAATCTGAGTCACAGAAACCTGTAAGTTTAAGTTGTGAATCTGACTTTTGAAAGACTAATCCAACCTCTTGTGTCCCTTTTAAATATCTTAAAACATATTTGGCAATGGATAAATCTGCTTGTGTGGGTTCAGAAATTTTCTGAGATAGTTTAGTAACAGTATAACATAAAACTGGTCTGGTTCCAGTCATCACATATATTGAGCTTCCTACGATTGCTCTATACAATTTTGGATTTGATAGTACCGGTGATTTTTCGCTCATAACTTTTTCTATTCCTAAAACACAGGGTGTTGGTTTTGGTTTGCAATCGGGCATTTTAAATTTTGAAAAAACTTTCTGAATATACCGTGTTTGATTCATCTTACAACAATTTTCACTTCTTTCAAATTTTGTTCCTAAGAACCATTTTAGTTCGCCTAGATCTTTCATTTTGAATCGATTGCTCAAAGAATCTTTTATACTGTTTAAAGATTGAATGTCGCTTGCAGCTACAATAATGTCATCCACCCAAATTATGACAATAAGGCATTGTTCACTATCGATAGTACGAACATATAAACATGGATCTGCAAGTGATTGAACAAAATTTTCTTTTACTAAAAATTCATGCAACAAATTGTTCCAATACCTGCCGCTTTGCTTAAGACCGTAAAGTGATTTCTTCAATTTACAGACTAATTTTTCACCATTTTCACCTAACTTTTCATATCCTTCTGGTTGATCGATCAAAATTTCACAATCAATAGGTGCGTTCAAATAAGCAAATAAGCGGTTTCGACATCCATTTGGTGAATGATCATGTCTTTGTTCACAGTGCGTTGTAGCGAATTGAACTCATGCGTGCTGTGGGTGCGAATGTTTCTTGATAATCAATTTCCTGCACTTGAGAGTAACCTTTGGCTACAAATCTGGCTTTATATGTTTTCGCCTCGTTTTGATCTGTCTTAATTGTGTAAACCCATTTCGCCCCCACTATTGGTCTATCGTTTGCTTTTGGTACAAGCTCATAAGTATCATTTTCTACTAGGGCTTTCATTTCAATATTCATGGCCTCTTGCCATTTGTCTCCATCATGTGCTTCAACAGCCTGTTTGTATGTTAATGGCATGTCCTCAACCATATAACAATAGTCTACTGTAAGACTTAAATTGTCGTTTGTTTGGTTTTGTCCAAAATAACTTGGTTTGTTTCGTTCTCGTGTGGGACATCTAACTAGGTGTTCTTGTTCATGCTGCCCTTGTGCGTGCGTGTCACTACTTAATTCAGGGTTGTTTGTTTTTGAAATATCTTTTTGTTCTTTTAAATTGTTTGGCTTTTTTTCTGTTTCATCCATAATATTTGCCTTTTGTATTCTATCTGAAATCATATCGTCAATATCATTTATTTTTTCCGCCTGAAATTTATCATGAAATTTAACACATCGTGCTTTCTCTACTTTATTTGATTCTGAATAATAAATCAAATATGCCGGACTTTCCTTGTTATAACCAACAAAGATTCCCCTTCGACCGCGATTGTCTAACTTTTTGGCATTTTGTACATATGCATAACAAGTGGATCCAAATACATGCATGTTGCTTAAGTTTAGTTTCTTACCAACCAAAGCCTCGAAGGGTGTTTTTCGTAAACGTGAGTTGAAAAACCTGTTTCGAATGTAGACTGAAGTCATCACAGCATAAGTCCACAAATATTTGGGTAGCTTTGCCTCTAATAACAGACATCTTGCCATATTAAATAAAGTTTGCCATGCTCTTTCTACTGTGCCGTTTTGATGCGGAGAATAAGGTGCACTTGTCTCATGTTTGATACAGTGATTTCTTAACAAAAATTTGAATTCTTTATTAAC